CAGGTAGCAGGGACAGGAGACAGCAGCAGCCAGGACAGGAGTCCCCACCGAGGGGCCTCGTCTTCCAGACGGGCCGTAGGAAGCCAGCGAGCTAGGAGGACACTGGCCGTACTGTGGTGGAGAGGAGAGCTCTGGAGAAAATGAAGCGGGAGAGGCCTGACTGATTTTGACAGAGACTGGTGGGCCAGAGGGGACGGGGTCCAGGGGAAGGTGACTTTGAAGGAGAGGAGGGAGCACGTTTCGCCACCTGGGCCAGCTGCCCTCCCCAGCTGGCGGTAGATGACTTGCTCGTCGGCTAGGAGCTCTGTCATTCCTCTGACCCCCTCTGCGGGCTTGCCCGGGGCAGGGAACTGAGCAGGCTATGAGGCCTCGCCCATGGGACGTCACACGAGCGGGCTGGAGGGAGTCCGGGAGCCGTACCCCAGCCACGCCCAGGGCACACAGCTGGGCTTCAGATATCTTCTAGGGGCATGGTGGTTAAGGTGCTGGATACCCACATGGCCGACCGTGGTTCGAGTCCCAGACTGGGCAGCTTGAAAGTCATGACAAATACATACATACATACATACATACACACACACATACATACAAAAATGTTAAAAGAAAGAGAGAACACAGATCTCTGGATATACCAGTGCTGATCTAGAAGGACTTTAGCAAATAAACCAGGCCTGAAAAAGTTTTGCTAGAGTTGCTCACAGGCTGCTTAAAGCTCAATGGCTTGGGGCCAGCAGGTGGTGCGGTGGTTAAGGTGCTGGATTCCCACATGGCCGACCACAGTTCGAGTCCCAGACACAGAGGCTTGAATATCACGCCAGGTGCGTGTGTGTGCCCAAAATCCTGAGAGAATGGAGAAGGGATTGCAGGGTGGCTATCCCCCTTGAGGGGTGATTTCTCCCTTTCTCCCTCTCTGTCTCTCTGTGCCCTGCGGCCAAAACCTTAAAAAAAAGACAAAAAAAAAAAGCCGGGAGGGTTGCGGGCTCCTGGGGAAAGCAGCGAGTGAGGGAGAAGAGGCCTGAAGGCCGCAGCTGAGAAAGAGGCTCTTTACTGAGCACTTAGGCGCTCCAGGCACTGCCGCCGCCTCCGTGCAGTCTCCTTAATCCTGGGGAATTACTCCCTGATATTTAATTCAGAGCTCCCTTGTTGATGTCCAAGCTGGTAACGATGCACCCGCATGCCTGGTGCTCTTCTGAGCACTGTGTTCTCTCATTCGCCCGAATCGCCTTTCTCATTTGGCGCTGTCCTGCGTTACAGGTGGGGAACCGGAAGCACAGGCGTCCAGGTCCCGGGACAGAACTACTCGGCTGGTTAGGGGAGGAGCTGGGGCTGAGGTCCAGGCAGCCTCTGCCTGCAGACACCAGGCCCTGGGGTGGTGCCCGAGGATCAGACCCCCGTGGTGCTGACCTGAGAAAGAAAACATCTCCATCGTCCAGGGCTGGCCAGGAGGGGGCGGTCACAGAGCCTGTGCAAGGTCCATCCAGGACGCCACCCCAGGGGCTCAGGCCGAGCCTGCACTAAGGCCCCATGCTCTCCCGCACGTGCCCATGACAAGCTGGGCAGACACTGGGAGCACTGCACAGCTGCCCGGGTGCACCGGTGCTGTCGGCCCACTCAGCCCGGGAGCCTGGGCCCCGGGGGAAGGAGAGCTGCCTCAGCCCCCGCCCGTCCCTGCAGGTGGCTGGCCTACGTCCTCCTGCTTCTCCTGGAGCTCCTGGTCTGTCTCTTCACCCTCCTGGGCCTGGCGAAGCAGAGCAAATGGCTGGTCATCGTGTAAGTGGTGGTAGGGACCCCTTCCGGTCTTCCACACCACCCTCACCACCCTGGGCCTGGGGTTTCCCCAGGGTGCAGGGCTTCACTCAGTCTCACAGCTCAGAGACAAATGAGATCTCGCGATCCCATGAGGGGGCAGGGGAGACCTGGAAACAGGCACTCCTCGAGGCACGGACATGCCAAAGTCATGGAAAAAACTAACAGGCACATCTGCAGCATCGATGAGGATGGCGGACACAGGCCGCGCACGGGTCCCCGCTGCCGCCACCGTGCGGGCCCGTCCCAGGACGCTCCTGCCTGGCAGGCGAGGGACCAGGGGCCAAGGGTGATGGAGCCCAGGCCGTTACGTGGCATGGCGGGGGAAGCAGCGCCCCACTCCCAGCCCCTCTGGGTGTCAGACCTTCCTCTGGGCACTTGGTGGGGCCTTGCTGGTGCACAGTGGGGCGCGTGGCCTCCCAGTGAGGGAGGCACCTCCCTTCCCCACCTCTGACAGAGTGAAGCTCCTAGAGGTTGGGACTGGAGGCCAGGCCTCAGCTTGGGGGGACACCGGGAGTCCCCTTGCTGCAGAAGCCCCCTGCCGTGCTGACCCTACCCACCCCGTCCCGCCCCAGGGAAAGTCAGGCTGCAGGACCAGGCCTGGCAGTGCCCACTGCTCAGAGGAGGGGACTGAGCAGAGTGGGAGGGAGGCTGACCCAGCCATGGGTGGGCCTGGGAGTCACGTGGGACCGCCCTCCCAGGACCCCAGGAACTCAGAGCCAGGCACGGCAGAGCTGGACTGGATCTGGCTGCTGACCTGTGGCCCAGACCCTTCTCTTCCCCCATCCCTGCCCCGCCCCGCCCGGGCAGGGGCCAGATGTCCGCTGTGGCGTCAGCAGCCTCGGGCCCTCCCTGTGCCCCAGCTCCTCGGGTGGCGGGTGGCGGTGCTGAGGGCTGGGAGGGCTGGGAGGGCTGTGGGGAGGGGGAGGCCAGGCAGAGCCTGTGCGCCCCTCCCCACTGCAGGATGACCGTCATGAGTCTCTTGGTTCTTGTGCTGAGCTGGGGCTCCATGGGCCTGGAGGCAGCGACTGCCGTGGTGAGCTGGGTCCCACTCCGGGTCCTGGGGTGTGTGCGCCAGTACCTTTGGTACCGAGGAAGGACCTGGCCCCTCGCCGCAGGTCCTGATGCTCGCGTGCTTTCTGGGTTCTAGCAAAGGGCGCTCTGTGGGTCTGGGGGTGGGGGCTGGGGAC